CGACCGAGGGGATTATTTCCAATGAAACCGGCTCTCAAACTCCTAGCGTCTACCACTAGTCCCTCAGACGAATTAAATTTGGACCCATCTCCCCTGAAGTTATAAAAGCCAGTCATCAAGTTCGTTATTTCCGACCCAGTGACGAATTTTTGAGCTCTAAACACATTCTCGGGCGGAAAGTTTGTATATTATTAGTCCTATCGCTCTGTGCGTAACCATAAGTTAGTCTTTTCTATTCTGCAAGTGCATCAATGTCCAGTCTCGTAAATCATGGCGCAAAACTGCAGTTCATTTTTCATTCTCCTTCTTAGTCGCGCAGATACCTCATTATTGAGTAACCGTTTCACTACGCTTAGAAGTATATCATGCATTTTTGTGCCTTCTAACGAGTTTGTTAGTTTATGTGATAGTCGAGGTATGCATAACTAGAGGCTTCTGTCAATTATTTGTCGTTCTCGTAGAGAGAACGTTTTGTGGAGTCAGTATTTTGCATAAACTTCATTTAAGGGCGGTTATTTTCTAATCAGATGAAGTGCGATTCTTCTTGTAATTATTGCCTTCCTGTTGGAGTTTTGCTGCGCAGTGTCTTGAGCGAAGATTATTCAGTCATCAGCAAATAACAAGGGCGTCAGCTGTTCTCCGTTGATACTGTTGCAACACTCCTGGATGAGTCTCCAGTAAATAGATATCAAGAACTACAGTGTCATATTATTGCCTCAACACACTCATCGTTGGATACGAAAAAGGCATAATCCGTTATACATCTTGGTGTCCGTTCCGCAACGATGGGCAGTTCTTCAATCAGGCTGAGATGAATGGAGCTCGTGATATACTTGTGCAAGGTGATTAACAATGTCACCAACTCAATGTAATTGAACGGATTTTTGTACTAGATTGAAGTAAGAGAGTATGACATCTGATATCAACTTCCCTATCAACTATTTGATATCATGAACGTATTAGAACTCAGAAAATACTGCAAGAAAACCGACGAATTCTAGGCTTGTGATTCGTTGAGGTCCTTTCGAATGCGATACAGAATGATGCAAAGATGCTGTAAATTTGTAGCAAGAGCGTAATTCATCGGAAACTCTTAAGATTGTCGAATTCGCTCTTTTTCATACGAAGTATTGGTCATAATATCATCTATGCATTATGCGTTATGTTCTTTGTGATACATTGGGGGGAGTGGAGTAGTTTACCATGTCCTTAAACACAGTTGTTATTGATACAATAAGATCTTCCGTTCTTATATTTACCTTGCCGGAATATTTGCTGCTTTCAGTGTCTTTGGTTGGCAACCCAGCTTCGTCATGATGACTTTAGGGAAAATTTTGGAGCAGCATGCGACAACGCAACATTCGCAAGTGGAATCTAGTACAGACCGCGTATTCAGTTGCAGTTTGTGGATTTCGCATTTTTTCGTCTCCGCCCGTCTGTGTCGTTGCAATTCATTCTTTTTTGTGCTCGACGAGTCTCTGTGTAAGGCCAACAGCATTCATGTTTTTCTCCATGTTTCAGTCTCTCTTAGCCATATTCTTTTGTAATATTCTCAGTTTCAATTTTTTTCCTGTCTCGTAGCAAAAGACAGTGCACGAGTGATCGATTTTTACCTCGGCCTTCAGCTGGGCTTTTAAAACCATTAGCTGTTCTGATGAAGAAGTAGCAATGCACAGAAGTGTAGTCGAATTTGCTGACCGTCATGACTTTAGAGTTACAGCTTTGTTGTTATCGAAAAATGATTCATGACATGCATAATATGTTATCGCCAACGTTCAATTATGGGCACATAAAGGCGATCCTGTCTCGCCACGCCTAACACATTTTATACACGAAGTATGCTGCGACTGCCTTTACATGGCCATGCTGCTATAAGTACAGCTGAATCGTTTTACTGCTTAGATCTGATCACTGAAGAACTCCATTTTTCTGCAACACAGGCGACTAACAATCTGTAAACACAGGCGAAGTCTCCAAAATAATCATAAACGAAAGAAACCACAAGAAAACGCAAATCTTACCGGTTCTGATTGCGCAGTTACGACAGTAACAGTGGCATAACCTGCAATGAAGAACAACTATGTACGCACTGCGCATCAAAAAATAGTGCCCGATGTGTTGTCGCTGCCTTTGAGAATTAGATCCAACCGTTATCCTGAATGCTAATTACAAGTACTGCGATTTCCAGTATAGTATGGATAGCGAACTTGAATAATTGCGGCAGAAATGCGCATTGACTTAGCTATAAAACACATTCTAATTTCACTGACTTGAATAGGGCGACTCAAATATTTGTTTCGGAAAATGCATTCTATGAATACAGTAATGTAAATTTTAATGTGTTGTAGGGTTAAGGAAGATTTACTAAACCTGCAACCAGCCTACGGTCGTATTGTAATTTAGCTACCTGTACCAGCGTTCGTTTAGAAGGAAAGAAACTTGAGAAGCGATGTTGCGTATAACACTACCCAAAGGTGGACACTTTGGGGACAGCTCGAAAGGGAAAGATTTCGGAATCCCCTGTCAGGGCAAGGTACGGTTGACTGTATTGCCACTGTATACTTTTTAAATAATGCAGCTGCCTTGAAGTG